ACTATCAAAACGCCTGCCATTTGATATAAATAAATATTAGAACAATGCTAGATGTTTTCTTCTGTAATTGGTTGTTTGCACACTAGCACAGGTGTCTTGACATTCAATCATCGAGTGAACCACGTGAGACGGTGTAAGAAAAATAAATGCCAGTACGGTTGACCAACTTTAAAACGTGCCAGGGCAACGTGAACCCCTTAAAGTTGTACTAAGTTAAAAAGCGCTCTTAAGAGAAAAATAAATGGTTTTAAACTGGCAATTAGTGATTCACAGAGAATAGTTAAAGTGACGAAAAAATGCATATAGGAGATGCTTTCAATGCTAAATGGGATTTAAACCATTACATTAGTTCTAAGATTGTCTGGAACTGCCTATAAAAGGTAGGACTTTGACAAATACTGCACCACCGCACTCACCAGCTCCATTCGATTTCCCGCGCCCCAGAACTTACGTCTTGGCATAACGTCCTCTCCAAATACCGTTCTTTTATTGAGGAATGGAGTTAAGTATGGGGGGGGGGGAATACCCTGAAGTAATTACGCAATTCTGAAAATTGATTACTTGCAACCTGCCTTGTTTACATCTCATCTTTCTTCGCAAATCATAACTTTTTCCTAATGTCAAAGAGTGTAACATGCTGTCACTGGCTTGAAGGCAGCATTAAGTGGCAAACTACGAAACTAAATATCGAGGCTGTCAGCAAAAAAATGATTCACGGAGAGATGTTCGTATACCATTTGGCCATCGGACTTTTAATGTTAAATCTATCATCACATTAGGATGTACTCGTAATTTACCCCCTAACAAAACCACTATTTATTTTTGCTACCATTGCTCAACACTCTTAAGATGCAGTACTTTCCGAAGTGACGAAAATTTTTGAACAAATTCCATGAGCCAATAAACACGCAAGTTGGTGATTAAAAATTAAAGCATTCAAAGGCACGCACACATTATTTTCCCTCTCTACCTTTTTCCAATTGCACAAAAGAAAGACTCGATGTCTGCTACTTTATTTTCCCGTAAATTTTAGAATTTAAATTTGGACAAAATGGGGGGGGGGAGGGGACCAGTGGAGTAATGTCCATGCCTAAGTACTGTCAAAAATTATTACCATTTGCCCGAATCACTCAAGAAATAGGGTGGAGTCGACGTCCAGCATTACTTCGTAGCACCGTGAAAAAAAAGACTAACGCTAGTCAATTGAAGCATGTAATTACGTTTAATGGAGAAAGCCAAGTCTTAATGAGTATGTTGTACTTTCAACCGTTTGGCCAACCAAGGCATTGCCATGTACGTTGAGATATGAAGTGCTGATTACCAAATCGTTAATGAATGAAGTAAGCCCCTCAAAAATACTCTGAATAAAGCTCTTTTGAGAAAATTATTGAAGTCTTGTTGCTAACTAAAATTTTTAAAAATACGGTCAATAGGCTGCGGAAAAGAACACTACTTCATAAGCCAAGGGGTTTAACCCTGGAATTTGAACTTTAGAACTATAGGGTGCACAATTAATCCAGAAATTACATCAACTAAGTCTTGTCCGATGTTCTGCTCATACTACTACCCTTACTCCAAACCAATATTTAAGGCAATTTTACTATTTTCCCAATTTTTTAAAAAAATGACATTCTTGTAGAAAAACAACTTCCTTGCATTTTAGGATTGAAATGCCAATCAAAGTGTGCCCAATTGTATTTATAAGTACGAGATTATGAAACTAGATAATTTTAGGTGGGCTTCAAATATACTATTTAGGAAAGCCTGCTTATCTACCTCTAAGAAAATTAATATTCTCAAACAAAACCTATATCACACTTAAAGGGCACATGAAATTCCCTCGCATTTTTACTTAATATTATGGGGGAGAGTATTTGAATTAAGCAACGATTGCTGTCAATAGGCTCTTAAAAGTGTACGAACCCTAGGTAATTAATAAAATCCCTTGGGCTGGATTAAATTTCTCAAAACGTTCAAATTGTAAACTTCGAAAGATGTACATGATTTAATTTCTTCAATGACTTTCATAAAACATTTTTTATCCAAAATGATATAATCACTGCTTATAAACTTTGAGAATAAGCCACCTCTCGGCCAATAACGTAGCTGGACATTTTAATTACCTAACAAGAAAAACCTAATTTAAAGGGGCTTTATGACGGGTACACCAAGTTTTAAAAAAAAATCGGTAAAACAACCTTATAAGTCTTCGAATGAGCTAATCGAATTTAAGAATGCTCCTCAAAGTATGAAATGAATGAAAAAGTATTCTACGATCCGATTATTACCATGGTAAGATACAGAAGTGCTAAAATACAAATTCAACGCAGTCGTATCTTTGATACGATTTATAAATGGATGAACTTATTAATTTTATAGAGACACTGAGTAAGAACTCACTCCATCCTTAATCCAATCAACGAAGGGATAACGCCCAGCAATCTCCTCCTTCAGCTGTTCGTCATTGAGCAACTCCCCAGCCTCGGTGTCCACAATGAGAAGACGACCTGGTTTGAGTCGACCTTTCGCTTTGACACCGACAACATCTGGTATGTCAACTACACCGACCTCAGAGGACATATAGATCATTCCATCTGTGGTTGTATAATAACGAGCTGGACGAAGACCATTTCTGTCCAGAATGGCACCAATGTAGCGACCGTCAGAAAAGACGATCAAAGCTAGAAAGAAAGTCACAGATTAATTAAAACTGTATACTTTTTGTTGGTAAATGGCAGTCGTGAGAAACTCCTTTTTGTAAATGTGAGGAATATTCTTACTTTACATCTAACTAACATCCTCTAAAATAGACCACAACATGGGCATGATTAAACGAAAACCTTACAGCATCTACCCTTCCTAAGCAGACATGCGTTTGAATTATGATCAATTGATCAAGCTATCATTTGAAAAGAAAACCAGTAACTGTATTCTTGAATCACTCTTTCCTAAATCGAAATTATTAACACTGCTAACAACATAAAACCTCATAGAATAGAAGCTGAGGTAAGGACGAGCTAACAAAATAACAGTTGGTAGCTGGCATGAATATTAATAAGGAAGTGTCAGTAGGTAAATCATACATGCATTTTAATTTTGTATTATAATAAAATAAATTGTCCTTTCTATAAAATAATACTAAGATGCAATAACTTTTCATTTTGTACTGCCCCATGCAACTGCGGGTCATAAGTTGTATATTCTCCTAATAAAAGGTAACTTCAAAAAATGGGTTGAAGGTCAAAACCTTAAGATACTTAGGTTGCCATAGCGAGAATATTGGTTCATTTAGTAGTTCGGTGGACAATGTGCATAGAAGTGGAGTTTATGAGACCAATATTCATGAGTTCACATGCAGTGATGTTGATAACCCACTAATTTTTTTCGTTCTGGTCGAGAGAGAGAAACAGAAGTATGGGAATGACTGATTGAAAACTATCCCAGCTGTCGATGTCTACATTTGATATCATATACCACTGTTTTCTACAATTTCGTTAAGTAGTACTGCTGTTCTAAATACAAGATGAATTGCATAGTGGTAATCAAGTGCCGTTGATGAATTGATGAAAAACCGGATATAAATGCACGTATATGCTCTAGTGTAACACATGTCATTTGGACGTTTATCTCTAGCTTCTTGCTTCTCTCAGAGTTAGTGCTCACCTAACGGTAAAAATTTCAACAGAAGTAGTAGCTTAAATAATTAATTAGGAGAGGAAAGGAGGGGATTTTCCCCATCAGTGAGCGAAATGTCTCCCAATTTCGCATTTGGAACTCCTATTTGAACTGGAGGGAAAAAACATTTCAAGACAATTTGATGATGATGATGATAACCCTAATTTGAGAAAAGAACTGCTACAGAACTAATATAATCCCCTTTCTAACAGGCCTCATTAATTGAGGATCTAAAAGAAATGTGGGAAGAAGTATTTACAAAAGAGCTCCATTCCTTGCATCAAAATAATACCTTAAGAGTAGCGTCACAATTTAAAAAAATAACCCTAATTAACTTGGTAATTTAGGTGAATTGGTAAACAAGTGTGGGAGAACTCGAATTAATAAGTGAACTTGATATATGAGCCAAAAAATGTCGCATATAAAACTAACTTTAAAAAATTAATGGATTTTAATCTACTAATAAGCGCCATTTCTATAAGTCGCAACAGTAACATAAGACGAAATTCAGCATAAAAGCTTGGGTCTGTTTAATAATAGTGTATAGCAATAACACGAAACTAAAAATGCCAAAAGTAAAAATATCAAAGAAAGTGGGCGTGGAACCATCCCCCCCCCAGCTTCCATATTTGGCAAATTTCAGGTGATTTCTGCTACGAGAAAAAGTAGAATTGGCTCACTCAATAGCCATGACTACAGCCCTTCCGTCTCAAAAGCCAATGGCACATACAATGCCTTTAAACCAACCTCAGTCGCTAATGTTCTCGCTTACCATCATTTCAGTAACTCTGTAAGATTGGTAGAGCTCCCTAACCGCGTTCGAATCATTGGCTCTTTGCAATCAACTGGATAAGACAAAAGACCGTAAAATAATTCCACCATGGTTCTTTCTCCAGCTTATTTACAATCTATTCTATTTTTAGCCAAGAACATTCAAAGATTTTCTCTCGACCAGAAAGTCGACACACTGTCAGGTGAAATGGCAAAGATTCTTCGTGGTAAATAGAAGCTAATGTAATTTTATAAGTTTCGTTTAAACAATAATACTAAAGAATGTGGAACAGAATACAACCGTAAGTTTAAACCAATAGTCAGCCCATGTCTTTCATGATATCAAATCGCTCTATGTTTGATGAACAGACTATGATTTCCACAAATATTATCATCTCAGAGTTTAAATGGCAGAAATTAGTGAGAAAAAAAGTCATAGGCTAAAGTGGTAATTTTGAGATAAATTGGCATGCTGAAAGATTGAGACCAGGCTTATCAACAATAAAGAAACACCAAAACTGTCTTCCTCCTTTAAATGCTGATAGACGTTTTATATACCTTCTTTTGCTAAAGGCACTAGTTATGCCCGTTTAAACGTCAATAATTTGACCTTAAAACTTTTAATTTTGACCACTTGTATTAGCAAATGCAACCCTTTAAAAGACGCAACTAAATTGTACGGAACATTAAAATAAAACAAACCGCTGAGGTTTGTGAACAAGGAAAGGTTGAATACCTTATGAACTAAAGCAAAAGCTATGCCCCTACTTGAAACAGAAATTTAAATCTAACCGCACCCCCTCCCCATTCCACTTTCATGCGAATAGCATTAATTGGGTTAACTTTCCAATCCAGCAAAATGACACCATTGTCTGTCCATAATTCAGACTAATTCGAGAAATAAGCACGTGGGCTTCGATCATGTGGTGACTTAGGGCAGATATGAAAGAGTTATTTTTATGGGGTAAAAAGACTATTTAGGTAGTTAGTGACTTACCAGGTCCATCCCACGGTTCAAGCAGACTGGCAGCCCACTTGTAGAAGTTGCGTTTATGGGATGGGATAGATTCGTCTGATTGCCAAGCTTCAGGTATCATGGAGATGACAACTTCTGGCAGAGAACGAGTAGAACAATAGCAGAGGAACTCGAGGAGATTGTCAAAGCATCCCGAATCTGACATTCCATCCTCAATGATAGGAAAGAGTTCCTCAAGCCGCTTCCCAAACCTCGTACTCTCCATGAGCGCTTGACGAGCACTAGCATAATTTACATTGCCCTAAAAATACATGGATCCATTTAAAATATATTCTAAAGTCCTGAAATCAGAAAATCCTAAAAGACACACTTACTCTTAAGGTGTTTATTTCACCATTGTGTGCCATCAACCGCTGAGGATGGGCCCGAGACCATGATGGGAAAGTATTCGTAGAGAAACGGTTGTGCACAATAGCGAAGTGAGTCTTGAAGTCTGGAGATTGTAAATCCAGGTAGTATTCCCATAGTTGACGGCTTGTAAACATGCCCTAAAATAAATTTGCTCAAGTAATCAACCGCATATATTACTCTAATGCTCTGATAAAAATTCGCACTTACTTTATAGACCACAGTTTTAGCAGAAAGGCTGCAAATGTAGGCTATATCGTCTTCCTCAAACTTGTGCGTGGCGTATTTACGAAGGAAGAAAACCTGCAATGGCGAGGAGAATAGAGTGAAAATATGTGTCTTCCTGAAAGGATATTTAATCTTTTCCAACTGGAGGGAAATGTAATAGCGGTACGATTTTATGACGAGTAGAAAAAGGTGGCTAAAAGCTTTTACTTACGACCCTATATTTAGTTTCCAATATCACTTTTTTGTTGCTGTGATATCTACCAACTTGCAACCAGAAATGCGATTTGTGAATGCCTTTTAACGAATTTTCTTATATTTGTAGCTTACCTTGCAGATGAATTTCATATTCACAAAGTCCTCCTCTTCTCCACTATTCACAACAAAAATCTGAAAAGAACAAAATACAAAAAAAATAGGATTTAGGAAAAATAACAGGTTGGTCTTGACTGTCCTAAAAAAATCAATCGAACCTGAAGAGTCACCGGTTCAGCTGAGGCAGCAACAGTTCCGATTTGTAAGTTGTTGACTTCTGCCACACGCCAGAATAGAACTTTCATTTCACATTCTTCGGCATACTTGCTGAAGCGGCTCATCACTTCTCCAACCTTCGCTTCGTCATGAACGAAGAACATACCCACTGCAAACTCGCCCAATGGTGGCAGTTTGTAACCAGCTTTCCTAGAAAAGGCAATTATTCATGTCAATTGTCCTGTAAAGGTAAGCTTAAACCATATAACCACTCTATAAACATGGGTTTGTGATATATGTATTCATCTTCTAAATTAATGCAGTTCCAGACCCACGCCTTCTTAAAACTAGTTTGTGAAACGTATACTTAGAAAGGTGGATATTAATGCGAACGCTCATCCAGGAAATAGTTGTGTGATTTACCCCTCAAAACTAGTCCAAGCAAATATTTCGAAAAATGAACACAATTGCCCATTCATTTTCGCATTTTCAGTAGTCTTTCTTTAAATACGAATGCCATATTTACTGGAACACTTCATCTTGTGCCAACTGTGATTTGAAGACTAAACTTTGAAAGATAATGTTTTCTAATTTGACCAGTTGGACTAAAATTTCCACTTGAATATGTAATCGATTGGTAATTTTTAAAGAAATGTAGCTATTCATAGTGAAAATAGTATTTAAGACGTCCTATATTAATTGAAAGTTTTGAAAGCAACAAGAGTTGCTTTGTTTAATTTGACATCCATTTTCATTAATTAATCGCATCAAATATCATAAGAAGCAACTTTCATTGTGAAGCAAATATACGATTATGCATAATATAAAAGTGTAAATTGAACTGTTGTATTTTATTTTAGTTCATTTATCTACAAAAAGGAATACATCTATATTTGCTTTAACCCTTAACTGTAAGGGGTGTCCATAATTGCGCTTTCTAAAAGCCTACATTGGAAAAACCTAAAACAAGGATATTTGCGGCATAATAAATGCAATGGGCACTTTAATTGATTAGCATGGAGCTGTTAAAGTTCTTTTGAAATTTTGTAAATAAATTATAAACAATCAGTGCCTGCGGGTAGGTCAGCACATATAAAGTACTTTGAAACTTAACTTATTTGAAGAAAAATGAAAATGTCACTAGTATGATTGGCCAAATCATGTTTAGAAAGAGATGGAAAGGTATTTTGTTAAAAGGTATCGCATAGTAATCTCCTATAGTACAGCTCTGAATGATTTAAAAATAGTTTGGATTACGTAATTCATCCACACTGAAGATATGATAGGATACGTACGGCTATAGATGTGATCATTTTCCATCTTTAAAAGAAGGTAAGGAGATTCATAAAGTTTTAGAACATTAACACCGGCTCAAATGCAAACCCTCTCAAACCGAAAAACATCATTCAAAGTAGTATTTCATTTAACAATCTTCCTAAAAAACGAATCACTAATTGAATTTGTCGTTCTAAAGCAACTCAAAAAATGGAAGTATATTTCTTAACATAAAAATGCCTGATTCCTTATGCAAGTAACATATTTACACTCATCTTAAGCAAAACAATAATGAAGAAACAGACTATACTAAAAATCGTGCTTTAAATTCGATTAAATTTTGTTACATTCGCCTTATGTACGCCAGCACAAACGCCGTGATAGTAATTGCCATATATTGAACTTAGAACAAGTTTTAAATGGGGAGCAAGAGTGAAGAAGTGAAAGGTTTTACTTCACCCTAATAATCGTTAAACGTGCTTTTCTCTTCTGAGATTTTTCACAGGGATTAAATAGCAATATCTGACATTAATAACCTTCAAAAAATTAAAAAATGTATAGAAGGCACTTATTATAGTTCCCAGCCCCATTAATAAAGCAAGAAAAGTCCCGTATAGAAAATAATTTAACAACTCCAAGCAAAATGACGAAAATGTCAAAACTTACTCAGCGAATCGCTCAAAAAGCTCATATGGAATGCCCGTCATGACACCTGCACCATCACCAGTCTCATCATCACATCCGCAGGCGCCTCGATGTTCCATGCGGTTCAGCATGGTGTTCGCCTGTTCGATAACCTGCAAGTCGAAATTGAACTTTGTTAAGTGTACGTTTTTACAATAGATTTCTTCGGTTTGTATAATAGCAATGCTATTCAAAAGCACTTTTGGCCTAAAAGATGGCTTCTAGAGTATTGCATAGCAGAAAATGGCACTCTCCCTCTGACAACTGTATCCGTACCATCGAGTTCAAATTTCGTGGCCCGTGATTTAGCAGCTTGAACGACCCAAGAAAATATCATAAATGCTGTCTAATACATACAGCAAATGTCCATGGCCTTTGGAAACTGTTCAGCAAATGACCATAATAACTAAATAGCTATGGTAAATAACTTGACATATTGCCACTAGAAATAGAAATAATTCCAAGATATGCTCAAATTAAGCAATATAACAATTCAGTTTCCATTTAAAGATTGAAATTAAAAATGATATATTCCTAGATTAGGAGAAGATTAAAAACTCATGCCATCTTTTCCATCCACTTTTGGATGAGAAATTTTTTACAGTTTATGGTCATAAAGAAGAATACTTATTACACTAGCGACATGTCATCATCGTACATTGACTAAGTCCTATACACGTACACTCGTATTTTAATTAAAGTACAAAAAGGCAAATGGATATAAAAGTACACTAGCTATACAAATTTAGACTTTTTTTACTAAAACTGAGCGACTGTAAAGCGTAAATGTTAAATTCCGCTAACCTCACGTCTCAAGGCTCCGTTAGTACAGAAAAAAGATATAAACAGAATTCCTCATTATGGTTCATACTTTAAAGATTGTCCAGTCTTACTCTAATCTGCGGATTTCACCAAACCACGTCAAAAATGTTTATATCTAATGGCAGGCGCTATGACGGTTATCATTAGCCCTTTAGTTGACTTCAGGCTCCACAGAGAGAAGGAACATCAAAAAGAAAAGGTCGAGAGGGCGGGGGAGGAAACAGAAGAGTTTCAAAGATGTAAAAGAGACAGACACAATGGTAGAAAAAAGGTGAGGTGAGTACTGTGAAAGTAGTCGAATATTACATACAGTGGGGTCATGGCAGTTTGAAGTCAGAAGTCAAATTAAAAAAGCAATTAAGGATAAATCAAAATTGCTCCCTTACAGATAGCGAAAGCCATAAGGCCGAAGAATGGGAGTGAATCAATTACTAAATTGTTAATTTACGCATGTCCCAATATGGGGAGGGTCTATGACTAAGCAGAAGAGATTCCCTAGCCAGGGTGTCTGCAGCGTGCAATTTTTTGTCAGAAAGGAA